GGGGGGGGGGGGGGGATATTAAGACAAAGCAGCTAAATGCGCAACAGACCAGTTCTTCAAGATGAAATGAGGAGGAAACAAATAAGATATAGATGAAGAAGCCCAATTCTACAGACCAATTCTTTCTTCTTGTTCTCTAACTTCTCCAGTAGAGCAAATTCTGAAGCTTCTGTATCTTCATGAACTTCAGCTATGGTTTCAGATTCAATCAACAATTCACTGGATTTTCCAGATTGAATTGCAGCCAAATCAGTTTGTGCATTTTCCAATTCAATGGTCAGATTTTGCTCCGTCAAGTTCAATTCCTGTAAAGCAAGACGTAGTCATTAAGATAATTTTGAATCAATATAGCTGTGAATCCTTGAACAAATGGAGCTACAGATAGATGTTAAGTTGAAATCTATACCACGATTTCAAGTTGTTGTAATGGAAATTTCATCATGATTTGTTCAGTATTAGTCAATCACAAAAGATTACTCCAATGACAATTATGACAAATGGTTATATATATGACACAAAGGATTAGTTGCCAGCCAACAACCACAGAGAAAAACCTAAGCTCAAGAATGGGCATTCACAGGTTTAGCACATCAATTAGTTAGCTTACTTTTGTTTGACCACCAGAAAGCTTGAATTTTAACTCAGCTCAGCCTAAATGCCAACATATAACTTTAGTTTCATACAGTACTATGAAGCTGATATTTTTGAAAAGTGTCATGTTAATATCATGCGCTTGGCTTCTTGCAAGGAGAGAAATAGATATGCTTCGCAATTCACATAGCTTAACAGAAAGCATGACTCTCTTAGCTTACTCTAAATGCTGGCATTTAATTTCAGTTTCATAAGCTATTATGAAACTGGTACTTCCTCAACGTCTCATACAAATACCATGTGATTGTGTACTTTCAAGGATAGGAATATATTGTAGAATTGTTTTTACCCTTGGATAAACATTTGTTAAGAATCAACATTATACCATTCTGCTAAAAGAATCAACATATCAATTAGCCAACAAAAGATATCCAAACATATGTTGAACACCTTAAGGCTGAAACTTAACCTAACCACCACCTAAGTCAGTCAAGAATCCTAGAGCATTGTCAACAAAAACTTCTCACAGTTGTAAACTATTTATGGCAAAACATATCATCAATTTTTTCAACAATGCTAGCCATCCCATATTAATATTTGATCTACTCTAGCAAAAAAATTAAAGGAAAATTAAAAACCAAGATATGGTATGTGTAGAACTGCTCCAAACCCCGGAGTAGCTCATCAACTCAAATATCGCTAATAAATTCTATGATTCACAAGCCATCGATTCTGGTCTGGCTTATCTTATAGACTAACTTACAAACATAATCAGAAAGGTTAAGGACAAAGAAATGCCACACTAATATATTTTCGATGTTAAATGCTGACACACACAAAAAAGAAATAATAATTTTGATGTGAAATGGATCATAAGTTCATTAGAACAAGTTGATATAGTTTGATACATTAACAAAAAAACTCGCAACTACAAGATTAGCATGTAAACATAAGATATAGAAACTTTGCTCTGACCTCTAACTTACTCCGTAGAAGATCTGCTTCCTGCAACTTCTCCCGTAGTTTATTCTCACAACTTGATATAGCCTTTTCATACTCTGCATTTTCTTCTTGCAAGGTAACTTCTCTCAATTGTGCCTATCATAACGTTGATTGTTTAAAGGTCAAAAGACCAAAACTCGTCCAATTATTAGCTAACTACATGCACAAACCACAATTATGAACTATAATAGCAGCAGAGGATGAAGATTGATTATTTCAGTGATGGCAATCATTTGCTGAAACAGCAGCTGCCAATGCAGAGAGGAAAACGAAGAGAATTACCAAAAATATACAACAGGGAAAGCATTACTCAATCAATATTTCATAGTGCATTATCGATCTCAGTGCACCATTATATAACTAGCAATGAATAACATGTTTTAGTTATATAGAGCTGGTGACAAGATTTCTGCTTATACCTTCTTAGTTTCATCAATCAACATTCAATATAAAAACGGAAAGATCCCCAACTTCAAAAAATTGCCAGCACTACTTAATTAAAAAAATACAGAAGTCTGACAAACNATTTCTGCTTATACCTTCTTAGTTTCATCAATCAACATTCAATATAAAAACGGAAAGATCCCTAACTTCAAAAAATTGCCAGCACTACTTAATTAAAAAAATACAGAAGTCTGACAAACAATACTCAAGTACCCCGATGGAAAAAAACAAGTAATTTGAACTTTTAAATTTACCATACATGAAGAATTCAAAATTCAAGACCCCTAAAAGAACTGAAGATGAAATCTTTTCTTGGAAAGTTGTATTGTCTCGAAAAAAATGCAATCAAATTCGATCACCCAATATAATATTTCAGAAATCTGAACTCTGAGCGATATAATATACCTAGTTTCTTGTTTCATTTTTTTTTTTTTACAATATTCACCTTTCTACTTTCAACAGCTTGTGTGCGATGCTCGGAAATTAGTTGTTTTTATTTGGTGATTGTAGATGCTAGCAAATCGATCGCTAGCAGGTGCTCTTTGCCACAATAGGATCTTATTACGAGACCTGGATTGAATAAAAAATTGAAAGTGAAAAATACCTGCTCTTTGGTGGCCGAGTGTGCGTTCAATTGGAGGGTGAGAGCGGCGTTGGAGGCGAGGGAGTGGGCGTGGAGGTGAGGGAGGCGTTGGGAGATGTCTGGAGGAGGGAGCCTCAGCCGTAGATCTTGGATCGAACGGCTGAGGGAGGCTGCTTTCCGGTCCAACTCTCGAACGTAGTTCTGTTGGTCAGGAGTCAAGATCAATGGGATTGAATCGGGGTTGTCTTCCTCGTTGCTTTGCCCTCCTCCTCCTACTACGTCTGCTGCCCATGCTAGCAACCCAGCCATTGCTCTGATGCTCTCTCTCTCTCTCTCTCTCTATCTGATATGTGCTCGTTTTGATCAGTCCATTCGGACACTCGCAGTTCCGAATCAAACGACCCCAGGTCCGGGTCCTGTCCGGATGTTAAACAGGGGCTCTGACAATTTGCCTGTCCGGATGTTAAATAGGGGCTCCGACAATTTGCCCCATTTTGGCGAAACATACATCCGAGTTGAATACAGGAAGGGCCTTTTTCCAGTTTCCGGCTCACCGGCCAACAGCGATGATCCATGGGCCGGATAGATAAGGCCACTGAAAATCACAGCCCACAATAGGTCCGTGCAGGTTTTTAACAGATTTTATCCATCAAGCTGATGCAAATCATCTTCAGACAGATCATAATCTAATNAGTAGGCCCGTGCAGGTTTTTAACAGATTTTCTCCATCAAGCTGATGCAAATCATCTTCAGACAGATCATAATCTAATTCAAAATCAACACCTTCCATTATAAAAGAAAAGAGAAAGAATATATACAACTTTGTTTTTCAGAAGAAATAAAAGGAAATTGATTAACGCGATTTAATTGGTTGCCAAGTGCACCAAAATCTATGGGAAGAAAGCCTTTATAAAATGGCCAGTGACACCTCCCTAAAGTCCCACCCAATCCCTTCCCTGCCAACATAATTTCCAATCCATGTCACTTACCAATAGGGTAATCAAATTGGAAACAGAGTTCAGACCAAGATGAAACCACTTGAAAGCTAAATACTTTTCTGTTAATAGAGTACAATGTTCTTACAATTTTGGTTGATAGAATACAGATTGGTATAAGTTTTTATTTTTTTTTTTTTTTAGCGATCAACTACCAAATCTTAAAGTGGACTCTAAGACTTGAATTTTCAATTTTAGAGGAAGAAATTCCACCGACGTCTTACTGAATTACCCCACTCGATGGTACAAATTAGTATAAATTATAGTATAATAATAATGCTAATTTTTTGTGATTTAAACGTCACGAGTTTATATCACAAAACTAGTCTTTTTAAGTGCAAAATAATGCCCGCTACACTCTTCAAGTCCCGCAATGGCAATGATATCAGTTTTGTAAAATTCACACCAAAATCATAAACGTAGATTATGAAAAGGAAAAAAAAAATTGGAAATTCATTCGGGTTCCTTTCTTCTCTCACATCCTAAACACCCTACTTTGTCATTCCTTTCTTCACACATTGAGATTCTACTAGGCATCAAGATGGCTTGCAATCTCACATACCCAAAACAACAAAACTCTAGATTCACCAACTTCACTTCCAATCCAACCTTCTTCCTCTCAACCCTTTTCTGCAACATATCCTCTAAGCCAAGTTCTGTTCCAACACCTTCTTCTTGTCCACCATCCTGAATTTGAGTCAAGAGATCCATAAAAATAGTGAACACTCTCCATACTTTCTCCCATTTCTCTCCCATTCCCAGCTACCAAATCCCAACTAACCCATTGACTCTCTCTCTCTCTCTCTCTCTCTCTCTCTCTCTCTGCAGTAAGATTTTTTTTTTTTTTTTTTTTTGCATTTTTTATTAGTTACTTAGCTTTGATTGACACGGTTACAGCCTTGCAGGCATGTTGAAGAAATTAAGAAGAAAAGTCAAAACCTTAATCAAGAGGACTTCAACGAAACAAAGCAAACCCTATAAACTCCCATCACAAGAAGAGCCATTACCGTCTCCTTCACCTTCTCCATCGCAATTCCCAACCATGTCGCCACCACCGCCACCGCCACCGCAAACCCAGAAACCACTAACCCGTCCTTTCCTCTTCCCCCAAATCCAATCCACAGTCCTTCCCGACCCATCTCTGTTCTTCTCTCCCCACCTCCTCTCAACCCCTTTGCCCACGAACTCATTCTTCCAAAACTATGTCTTGAAAAATGGCGATCAACCTGAATACATACACCCATATCTCATCAAATCTTCTCTCTCCTCGCTGTCTCTCTGTTACCCTTCTCGGTTCTCTAATTCTGCATTCACTTACCAGATTTTCAATGCTGATCTCACCATCACTGCACAAAATAACCCCAACCCAAATGCAACTCATCTAGTCTCTGCGTTCAGTGATCTCAGTGTCACCTTAGATCTTCCCTCTAGCAAGCTCAGGTTCTTTCTTGTTAGAGGAAGCCCTTTCTTGACCTGTGCAGTCACCAGAAGTGCCGCGCTTTCGATTTCAACAATTCATGCCATTCTTGAGTTTGGTTGTAACACCTCTCGTACAAAATACACCATTAAGCTCAACAATGACCAGACTTGGCTTTTATATGCTTCTTCAGCGATTGATTTGAGTCATGACATTTCTACCATTGCTTCTGGTGGGTTTTTCGGCATAATTCGGATTGCTATCTTGCCGAATTCTGACCCACGATTCGAAGCAACTCTTGATCGATTCAGTTCTTGCTATCCTGTTTCTGGTGATGCTGTGTTGACTAAGCCATTTTCTGTGGAATACAAATGGGAGAAGAAGGGTTGGGGAGACTTGCTCATGCTTGCCCACCCTCTCCATCTTAAGCTTCTTTCGGATAATGATTCCTCAATCACTGTTTTGGAGGATTTTAAGTACCAAAGTATTGATGGGGAGCTTGTGGGTGTTGTTGGAGATTCATGGGTGTTGAAAACTGACCCTGTTTCTGTAACTTGGCATTCAATTAGAGGTGTTAAAGAAGAATCATATCCTGAAGTTGTTTTTGCTCTTAGCAAAGATGTTGAGGCTCTAAATTCAACTACAATATCAACCACGTCGTCTTATTTTTATGCCAAATTGATCGCCAGAGCTGCGAGGCTGGCCTTGATAGCCGACGAGGTGAGTTATCCTGAGGCGATTCCGGCTATCAGGAAGTTCTTGAAGGATACAATNCTACAATATCAACCACGTCGTCTTATTTTTATGCCAAATTGATCGCCAGAGCTGCGAGGTTGGCCTTGATAGCCGAAGAGGTGAGTTATCCTGAGGCGATTCCGGCTATCAGGAAGTTCTTGAAGGATACAATTGAGCCATGGTTGGATGGGACTTTTGGTGGGAATGGTTTTTTGTATGATCGGAGATGGGGTGGAATTGTGACTAGGCAAGGATCATTGGATTCTGGTGCTGATTTTGGGTTTGGAATCTATAATGATCACCATTATCATTTAGGCTACTTTCTTTATGCAATTGCTGTACTTGCTAAGATTGATCCTGCTTGGGGGAGGAAGTATAGGGCACAAGCTTATTCTCTCATGGCAGATTTTATGAACTTGGGAAGGAGAGAGAGTTCAAATTACCCACGTCTGAGGTGTTTTGACTTGTGGAAATTGCATTCTTGGGCTGGAGGACTAACTGAATTCGCCGATGGGCGAAACCAAGAGAGTACAAGTGAGGCTGTGAATGCATACTATTCAGCAGCTTTACTGGGGTTGGCCTATGGTGACACCCACCTTGTTGCCACTGGATCAACCCTTTCAGCTATGGAGATTCACTCTGCACAAATGTGGTGGCATGTGAGAGAAGGGGACAACTTGTATGCTGAAGATTTCACTAGGAACAACAGGGTGGTGGGTGTTTTGTGGGCTAACAAAAGAGACAGTGGACTTTGGTTTGCTCCACCCGAGTGGAAAGAGTGTAGGCTGGGAATTCAGGTACTGCCATTGTTGCCAATCACCGAGGTTTTGTTATCCGATGTGGATTTTGTGAGGGAGCTTGTGACCTGGACGTTACCGGCTTTAGCAAGGGAGGGGGTTGGAGAAGGGTGGAAGGGGTTTGTGTATGCATTGGAAGGGCTTTATGATAGAGATAGTGCTTTGGAGAAGATTAGGAACTTGAATGGATATGATGATGGAAATTCACTCACCAATCTTTTATGGTGGATTCACAGCAGAAGTGATGAAACAGATGGATGTGAGGGAAGATGGAGATTATGCTGGTTTGATCACTATTGTCATTGAATTTATGGTTTGAGGATGGACTAGAATAAGAGTGTTGGAGTATGATGCTGGGGTTACCCTATATAATAAGTACTCTGTTTAGGAGTTGATATGGTTTTCAATATTACTTGCTTTGTTTTGTATACATTTCATCTATTGCACGACCTTTTATACTGATGAACGAGGAGGATTACAAGGAATTTGTTACAACCATGAAACTAACTGTTCTTCATTTGACTGATGGTTAAAAGTATGAGACGATATCAATGTGGCTCGATTGATTTGTATTTGATTTGGCACTTCTGTTACGATACATTTTCATGTTCCCTGTAAACCAAACAGGCTAATGAGATTTGGTTGAGTCGTCCGTAACGTAACCGAGTCAAATAATACATACTCTCTGCCAATGCATTTCCATCTTGTGGCTCTGGATATCTTTTGTACATCTAAGTTCCTTTGCTGTGGGTTTCTATAATTTTTTTCCTCTTTCCTTTTCGTTTCTTTTATTTTCTTCTTTTATGCGTGTTATCTATTGGATAATTAGTACGATCATAATTATTGGATAATTAGTAACATTCAATGGGATTTGCTAATTCAACAATTAATATAGAATAATTTTGTTGTTTTGATAAACCCACTTTCTAAAATATGCACAATTATGGACATACCTATCTTTGTGACAATTTGGCCACAAAATTCAGTTAGGAATTTTGCCTTTCACGTCTCAAATTTGTGTTGGAATAGTATAGTTATCGTACGTTTAATTCAGGTAACTTCCGAAAGGAAATTGACAGTTGGATAAGCTTTTCTGTTGAATATGATTGAGCCCTACAGTGGTAGAACCTATTGAATTGAGCCTACTAATATATATTTATTCTCCATCCTAAGCTCTTTATATAAATATAATTTAACTCAATCAAAATCAAAGAAAACAAAAAACAACTACATCAACAACTCGGGTCCAATAAACCGGCACATCCTACCTACTAGCGCTAATAAGATTGAAAGAAATGATGCATCGAGCAAGCAACGTGACCCCCCCGATTTTACTTTAGTAAGTCCCGTCCTTGTAGAAGGAGGAAGTCACTCCCACTAGAAATTGATTCAAATGGAGCTTTTAAACATTAATTAGCCACCCAACATAAAATGCAAGGATAAAGAGATATTTTTATAACAATAGCGTTTCTCGATCCCAATTTATTGATAAAATGTGTTGATCCAATCTAAACAAGTCAATTTTAGATTGTACCATACACACAATACATCTCAATGACGGCCCAATGTTAAAATTTACTAATAATAATGGATTAGACCGGTAACGGATGTCAATAAACTGAATCCAAGTAATATTATGATGAAAATAAATTGAGTACAAATAATATTAATCTTTACACATTAGTATAACAGACGTCCAACTATGAGTCCAACCCAACTTGTTCCATTTGCAACCCTCTTCCCTGATGTTGCCATTCTCCAAGGAAGCCATATTCTCTCATTGGTTCAACAAACTATTGAGGAGAGATAGTGCATCCATGATCCCACTTCATCAAGTTTGTTTAGACTTGAAGATATATCAATCTAATATACAGCTCATAATATCGAATTTTGCATTTCTTTTGAGTAGATAAGTATACAAACCTATCTATTTTGAATCAGGGCAGAGACACTGACAAACTCTCTCTATGTACTTGACTTTTTGAATTTTAATTTGATTAAGTATAAATCAATGAAGTATACTCCAACCAACGATCTATACTAAGCTCATATAACCAATATACCACAATCTCACTAGCTACCACTCATTTAATTTGTTGTTGACAAACCAATTTTAATTCTCTATAACTTCCCAAGTGGTGGGAATCAAATTGTCAATCGGTTCTGTCATGTTAAAATTTTAGCTATTCACATCTGATTTATTTATAATTGTACTAACGACGATCACGTACGATGCACAGATTTGTATCTCATCACTTTTCATTATTGCGTTTCACTAACTTCTCCTCTCTTCCACTGCTCTCCATTTTCACTTGGCTTGAAGGCTTACACAAACCAAACAAGTGGCAAAAAAAAAATTCAATAAGACTAAAAGCACCAAGTAAAAAAAAAAAAGAAGCACGTGTCATGTGTGAGTGTGGCTTTCAAGCTTGTCTCCCCATTGTCTTAAGCCTAGAGACCAGGGGTGCTTGTTAGACTGTTTGTTTGAAAAGGCTAAATGACTGAAATGATGTTTTTGATGTTATTGGACAAAATTGTTGTCATTTTTCTATATCTCATTTTCCTGATTATGAGTTGCACAAGACTTGAAGCTAGAATTTGAGCAATTGAATGTAGAAAGTTTTCTAATTTATTTTCAGTGGACNATCGGTAACGGATGTCAATAAACTGAATCCAAGTAATATTATGATGAAAATAAATTGAGTACAAATAATATTAATCTTTACACATTAGTATAACAGACGTCCAACTATGAGTCCAACCCAACTTGTTCCATTTGCAACCCTCTTCCCTGATGTTGCCATTCTCCAAGGAAGCCATATTCTCTCATTGGTTCAACAAACTATTGAGGAGAGATAGTGCATCCATGATCCCACTTCATCAAGTTTGTTTAGACTTGAAGATATATCAATCTAATATACAGCTCATAATATCGAATTTTGCATTTCTTTTGAGTAGATAAGTATACAAACCTATCTATTTTGAATCAGGGCAGAGACACTGACAAACTCTCTCTATGTACTTGACTTTTTGAATTTTAATTTGATTAAGTATAAATCAATGAAGTATACTCCAACCAACGATCTATACTAAGCTCATATAACCAATATACCACAATCTCACTAGCTACCACTCATTTAATTTGTTGTTGACAAACCAATTTTAATTCTCTATAACTTCCCAAGTGGTGGGAATCGAATTGTCAATCGGTTCTGTCATGTTAAAATTTTAGCTATTCACATCTGATTTATTTATAATTGTACTAACGACGATCACGTACGATGCACAGATTTGTATCTCATCACTTTTCATTATTGCGTTTCACTAACTTCTCCTCTCTTCCACTGCTCTCCATTTTCACTTGGCTTGAAGGCTTACACAAACCAAACAAGTGGCAAAAAAAAAATTCAATAAGACTAAAAGCACCAAGTAAAAAAAAAAAAGAAGCACGTGTCATGTGTGAGTGTGGCTTTCAAGCTTGTCTCCCCATTGTCTTAAGCCTAGAGACCAGGGGTGCTTGTTAGACTGTTTGTTTGAAAAGGCTAAATGACTGAAATGATGTTTTTGATGTTATTGGACAAAATTGTTGTCATTTTTCTATATCTCATTTTCCTGATTATGAGTTGCACAAGACTTGAAGCTAGAATTTGAGCAATTGAATGTAGAAAGTTTTCTAATTTATTTTCAGTGGACTATTTTCTTCAGTGAGCTCTTTGTCATCCTTAGATATTTATTGATGGATTAATTTTCAATCTTTATGAAGGTAAGGTTTCTTAGAGAATGCTGTTGATGGATGTCCTGACATGGAGAATGAAGGAAATTTTTCAGAGGTGAAAGGCCATGGGGAGATACTATCTGTGATCCATGAATCTCCGATTAGGAAAACCGTATCCAAGTTTCGTGGTTAGTCTACACTCTTTGGACTTTTCAAACTTTGTGAATTAAAACATATGAATAGCTAAAGGAAGGGAAATCAACCAACCAGCCATAATGAATGATCATTGTTTAGGAACAAAATAATAAGACTAAAAGTTTTCGCTATTGCTTTTTGCCTAAAGCCATAATTTCGCTCTTTGACCCTTCGTTATCGCAAGAATATAGTGATCAAAGAGCTATCGCTTAGTTACTTCATGTATTATAGCAGCTAGCGCACTTTATGTAACGCCCCAAAATTCACCTTAGATGACATTACTATCTAAACATCATTCACTTCACGAGAGTAACTAATATAATCTATAAGTAAATAAGATTTCATTCATCATTCATAATATTTATAACATTATCCAAAAGAATATGTCAAACCATGACAATTACATCTCAAAAATTAACTATTAACTTGTAGCGGAATAACAAAAATATTAGACTTCACATTGTCTCAAAATAAATTTCTTAGTCTAGAACATAAAAAGAATAATTTTAAACATCCTCCTCCGGATCTACATGTCCATCAACTTTAGCTTCCCAAATCACTTGCTCATCAACTTTGGGCTTTTCCTCTAAACTAAAATCTGAAAATAAGTATTGTTTGTAAGGGGTGAGCACTAAGCTCTGTAGGAAAATTCTCTCAAACTTGGACAAGGTTTTGAAAACATATAAAACAAGTTGGTATCATTTCACAAATATCATATATAACTTTTGAAAAAAAACAATGATAGTTTATCCGATCTCAAGTTTCAGCAGTATCAATAAATTAAATAAAGAAATAAAACCGATTCCTAACAATAAGTCATTTCCAACCATAAACCGTTTCCATAACAACAACACAATCCACAATTTGTACCATTACCAACAATGTATAATAAACCACAACTTGTATCTTTCACAACATTATGTATATGTGTATCTCAGGTATGATGTATAACATCGCATGAATAAATACATTGAAAATATCATGATCCACACACATACACCCAATCCTTGCTAGGATATACAACTTTAGGAAGGACGTATACCAACACATTGACAGTGACGAATCCAACCCAGTAATAGTATATTAACCCTCATCTTCGGTACCCGCGAGCGAATAGTAGTTTAGTCCTCAAAAGACACCAACCCTACTACGAGTGATAGAAAAAATTCAAACTCGCATGGAGTAAGAAACGCATCTATCCACGCTACGATACCCAGTCAACGGTCACCCATGGTCATCCAAACATCCACAAGAGATATAATTCCCAACAATTTCGCAAATAACAAGCAAATCCAAAATCCTCAAATTTCACATATAGTATTACCATAGAGCAATTTAAGAAAATAAGCAAGAGATCATCAAAATACATACTTTTATTGTTCAAAATAAAGCACTAAGATTTTTGAATCAAGAGCACAAGAATATCAAGAAGAAGATTTCATGTTTCTCAAAAACTAGGTTTTGACATCAAGAACAAGGGTTTTATAGCTATCAACCATAACTTCACTCAAAACATGGTAATAGTTGAAAGAATATCAAGAATCAAGGGTTTCAATACATATATATAAGATTTAGAGTCAAAACATGTATAGGCATTAGCATCGCTAGTTTTGAGAACCCTTCCACAAACCTCTGGTAGTAGCCTGCTAATCCTAGGAAACTACGTATTTCGATCACATTCCTTGGTGGTTCTCATTTTATCACGGCTTCAATCTTTGTGGGGTCAACAACTACATCCTTTTCTGACACAACATG